GTGTCCCTGCAGCTCCTTATCCCCTGCTCCTTCCTTTGTTTTCACAAGTGCTTAATTACGTATTTAGGTTTAACTTTGTAATTTCCTCCTTTGTACTTGAGTGATGTACATGCAACCACAGGTTGCATCTTGCTTCTGCTTCTTCCTCCAAATAATGTATTGAAAGGGCATTCAGGTGCCAGAGAGACTATCTGTACTGAATTATTTCCAAGAGACTTTTCAAATCTTTCTCAAGCAAAAGTCCCACTGCCCCCACCAAGTCCCCCTCTGAGACTTTCATTTCTTTCCCTAAGCTGCCTTGTTGTCATTCTTCCTCCAAATGTTACTGACTTCAAGAATAAGATGGAAAGGCTCTCACAAGCTTTTCTCATTGACTTACCTTATTTTCTCTTAATAGCTTTTGTTCCTGGTCTTATTCTTTTTTTTTTTCCTTCCTCAGTGATGCGTGACAGCATGACTGAACTACTTCCTCCCCTTTCTTCATCCATCTGGTGGCTCCTTCTATTCATGCCCTAAATGCATTTTAATATTCTATGCCCTTAAACTTTTATATAAGTCTTGTCATTATAATTCTACTCTCTTTCATCTTGAGTGTCATTCATTTGATGATAAGCTCTAACCTTTCCCCACCTTCTACACACCCTCATGATTCCCTACTTCTATGTCAGAAATGCAGCTTCTGCCTGACAATCAAAACCTGGTTTTACTTTATTGAATCTTCTGGCTTTCCCTTTCAAGATGAAATGCTTCATCCCAACACCTCATCGAGCCAAATCTCTGTCTTTGGTTCCTTTAGTGTAGTCAACAGTGCCAAACCCATTGCTCTGTTCTCTTTCCTTCACTCTTGGTCGCTGCTGTTATCTCCAAGCACGTGGGTACCTCTTTCTTCTCATTCAAATTCTTCCATTTTATCAAAGTTGTTGTCACTAGCCTATCCTCACCATTCTAGTATTATTTACAGGCCCTTTAATGATAAGAGAAGATGTGGAAAGCAAAACCAAACCCAACATGAATGTTGTAAGTCGTCACTTTCTCTGCACCTTCAAAAGAGTCTTTTGACATCTGTTGTTCTTCAGGATAAAGTAGGACAGTGTTTGTCTTGTAGAGCACCACAAACATTACTGGCACCTAACAAATGTTGTTAATAACTGTAACTGGTCCTTTCTTCTGAGCAGTTACTCAGAATTATCTCCATACAGGGGTTGTATAATCAGGCTGCTGTCTCAAGGGGCCTGCTGCCAGTATCTCCATGTCCCTTCTGAGCAGCAGAGCATGACTATGTATTAATAATGAGCTATGAGATGCTTGAGATTTTCAACTCCTTGCTAACGAGAAAAAGCCAAGGTAAATGTATGTAAGAGATCCTTGTCTGAAGCAAAGACAAGATGACATTTTTATGAATTCTCTTTAGAATCTTTGAATTGTGTAAGAAGCTGCTGTGACACTACACGGTCAGTGTGGATGAAAAACAAAGGGATCACTCATGTGGGAATCCTATTTCCTTAGATACTCATACTGTCAGTGGGAACCACAGTTACTCACTTGCTGGCTGAAGAAGTGGGAGTCTGCTACCAGCTTCAGCAGAAGGGGAGTTTGGTCTGCAACTTCCCATTTCAAAAGCTGCTCAAGAAAATTATTAAGACCTTTGAAAAACGTGGCTCTGCTGCTGAACAAAATAGGTTACAGAGAGTGGCCAAAGAATGAAGTGGCTTTCATAAATGGGTATTCAGCTGCAAGAGAGACCAGATCATTCAGTGGTTTCCCTGTCTCAGCATAAACTGAGAATTTGGTGGATGGCTTATATGAAGACTAAGTCCTTGTTTTGCATCTGAATTCCATGGCAGAAAAATGTTTGCCCATGCTTCAACTCAATGTAGATTTTTAAGAGACTTGCAAATAGCTTTTCCCACATCAGACCGTAGTATGTAAGAGCAGCAGCTCCCAGGTGCATTTCAGAACAGAAGTGTAATAGCAATGTATAACCTATTACAGCGGAATATGGACACAATAGGATCAAATTAACTTCCAACAAGGAGGGAACACTTACTGTTAAATTACAAAACTCCCTTCATCTCAAACAAGAAGTTCTCTCTCCAACTGGTGGGGTTTATTTTTGTTGTTGGTGGGGTTTTTTTTGTTTGGTTGGTTTTTTTGGGGGGGATTTTTTTTTTTCCAAGAGGGGGGGATGAGTGAGAGGAGGAGTTGGTTGGAGTTTCTTTTTCCCCTGAGTACTGTTACCAGCTAGTCAGACATTTGAGCTTATAAAAAAGGCTTATTTTTCCACAGTCCGCACTCTCTTTTCCCAAAGATTTAAAACAGAGCAGTGCCAGAAACATTAGAAGCCTCCTTTCTGTGAGACTGCAGTTTTTGTTTAGCAAAACAGACTTCTGAACAGATTAGGAGTACATTTACTGAAGTTTTAAAAGCAGAGAATATCTCATCTGAACATGACTCCTCCATGTTGCTGTTGTGGTCACTTGTAGCAAAGGAAAATATTCCGTTTTAGTGGCACTTCTTGACCCGTTGCATACAAATTGGAACTGCCATACACAGTCTGGGGAAGCTCTTAGCATTCAGCTTGTTGATGCTGTCTGCAGTTCACGTTGGCAGGGTTCCCAGGAGAGGTTATCACTGCTTTGATCATATATGGAATATCTCATTTCAAAGTGAGGGACAAACTGAAATTTCTACTTCTAATGGTAAAGACTACTCTGACTACTCCACTACCAAATGGAGAAAATAATTTCTTTTTTGCAGTGATTTTTTACTTTGTAAAGCAAGTGATACCCTGTTACTTAGGCCTGCAAGTTAGTTTTCTTGTCTGTTGCACATGAAACCTCTTGAGATGTTGAACATGAGCCTTTGCCAGTAGGTATTATCATGCTTTACTTCACTCTCTTAGGCAACTATTTCCATTAGATCTTAATACTTTAGGCAAGAGAGAGAAAGCAAGAGAGACAGTGAGAGAGAGCAAATTCCTCTTGAATAACACAGCTTGTTTACAAACCTTCCACAGCCTGAACTAAGCCAACAGGAGGTCTCTAAATTAGCTATTGGAAAAGCATTTCAGGACGGTTTGTGTGCTGGAATGGAATTGATAATAAAAGTTGCTTGTCTGTACTCTGTGAGCTGATTAGCTCAGGAAGAGTACACACAGTGTTACAATTAGCATTCAAAGCCTATTCATCTGTACACTGGCACAGAGAACAGTCTCTGTGGGAGGCTTAACTGGGAGAATTATTCCTTCTTCTATGCTGTTTATAGTTAGATGAGCTTTAAAGGATCCAAAGCCTTTAAAGAGACTTGGTCTTCAGGAAATCATTGAAGATGCTAGAAGCTGAGGTGCTTAGGAATTGTCAGGTCTCAGAGGGGCTGCTGTATTGCTCTCTATCAAGCTTGTCATTTTGCACTACAAAAACATTTTTTAATCAGTAACACATATAAAGTAATGTCAGTAGTCAGGATTCAGTAGCCAAGACAATGGAACACGTTTTATGTGACAGTTCTTTCTGCAATGTTGTGGTTGCTAGTACAGATGTGGAAAACCACAAGAAATTGAATAAATTAGTAGTCTTATAGCAGTATAGATGTGCCTGTTTTTTCAGGTATAATAATAGGCCCTGCATTTAAAGAAGACATTAAAATTTAAATAAATGGCGTGAAATATCATGGAGTACCACAAGCATGTGATTTCCTAACATGGGATGTTGCATTAACAGCACTCTTGCATGCAGGTTTATCCAAACAAGGCCAAAGTCTGAACTTCCTTCTCACCCTTCTGTAACTGTCAATACCAGCGAACATTGACAGAAATCCAAAGGATGCTTATATTGTTCCCACTCAACCAAATGCTACGTTGGGAATTCCAGACTCTCCTATCCCCATGTAATGTGCACAAAACAAGCTATCTTCAGGTCTCATCTGTGGGCAGGTTGGGGGACTGCCAATCCTGCCACATGCAATTTTCCATTTTTGTCCATGTGTCCTAGGAGCCAAGGTTTTCAAGGACAGCATCTCCATGTGAGAATGGCTGTGGGCCAGGTCAGTGCTTTACAAGCTTCCCCTCAACAAAAGAAAAGAAAAAAAGCCTTAATGCTCTGGGGGAAAGTTGACTTCAAAACTCTCCTAAGTTCCCCAAGTCAATTTGGATTTTGTTGCCTTTTGACTTCTAAAAGATATTTCTGTCTATTTTGTTACCACTGAGGTTATTTGCCCTCCAGCTACTACTTTACTGTCACGTTGCAGGAGCTTGAATGTTGTAAACCTGTCCCAAGGGTTGAGAATCCATTCAGGCTGTTCCTGACACCAGACAGATGTGGGAATTAGGAAGGTTGCTTGTGCAGCCAGCATGGCTTTCTACTTTGCAAGATTGCACCCTACCTGCATTTCTTTCCACTAATGCCTCTCTGAATACATCTTTGTGTATTAGCAGGATGGTACCCTCTTTGATAGTCTTCAGGCTCCAACTGCTTTTAGCATTCAGAAATGCACTCTGAGATTAGTCTCAACTCCTTCCTCGTTAGCCTGCTTCTGCATCTCAGCATCTGCGGAGATCAAGTAATTCCCTTCCTTCATTTATATTTATATTTTGAAGGTATTTATAGATCAAGCTATGGCCACACGAGTTTTCTTTTCTCTAGGTTATATTTATAGATCTTTGATAATCATCCCCTAATATTTTTTTCTTATCTTCCAATGTTTTTGTGTTGATTGTAAGCAGTTGCTTTGCTGTCTTCCCCCCTCCCCCCACATGATTTTGCTCAGCATTATTTTAAGTGTGGTGATACTAGATCTCATTTTAATGTAACTATATTAATTGAAAATGAGGCAACCCTAGTAGATCTAACATATAATCCTTCAACAATCCAGCCCTGCAAAATATTCTCAAACAGTTGCTATTTTCTTACCTTCTTACCTTCTGTTGCTGTTTCTCCTGCTGCTTGGGACAGGGACTGTCTCTAGCTGTCTTTACAGCACTCAGCACAGTGGATTTCCACTTGCCTCTGGATTCCTTCTCTTGTTCTGTAATGTGAGATAATTAGAAACAAAGGCAGCAATGACTGAAGAGTGAAGAATCATGTGTAAAACCAGAATCTCACCAGCTCAGCTTTTTTAAAACACTTAATTTTCACACTGAACATTCCCAAACTGCTGTAACTGTAAGAGAGTTAGAATTGAAGGCGATAATGATATGGACTGGTGCAGATTTCCCTGAACCATACACAAAATCAGCAATCTAGGCTCATAAATTAAGTTCAATAGCTGTGAAAGTGCCTTGAATTATTTAGCTTATTTGTCCAGTGAGAACTGAAAATTATTAAACTCTTGCCAACTGATGTATGTACAATTTTTTTTCACAGCACATTTGTCCTTGTGTACAGTTGGCATATTTTTAAATAAACATGGTCCATCATCCTTCTGCCCTTTGACTTATTTTGAGTCTTTTTTATAGATTTTTCTTCCATTCCCCCAAATAACTTTGCTCTAATTTTGACTCCAAGTTTCAGACAGATCCTTGATTGTATCTTCATGAGTATTCTGACCTTAAAATATCTTAAGAATTCGTCTGTATGATAATGCAAGCTAGATTCAAGCTTGCATTGGAATAGAATATATTAGAAGAATATGATTTTCCTCTTAGTTTACTGGTTTTTTAACTTCTTGGAACAAGTGAAAACTTAACTTGTTCTGAAACAACTGGGGATTTAGTTTACATCTGCCTAGGCTTTCCTCTGGTGAGAAGGCATTTTCTTAAACAAGTAATATGAAGAGGTAGACACTGCTGTAATTTCAAATAGTGGTAGATAATAGGAATTTTGTTATGTAGTCTTACTGTTTTTAGGAATGCCCTTCTCTCTTTATCACTTAGTGGCTCCTGATAATGGTTGAAAAAGTTGATATTTATGTAGACCTTACAGAGTCTAGGGGATGTATGACATATTAGAAGTAGTTTGTTTTCTTAAGCATGTTTTTCAAAGGTTTCCCTAGCCCAGAGTAACAAAGCTTAATATGTGCTTGTTGAAAAGTTGGTTTGGTTTTCTTTTCTATAACTTCAAAAAGTTGAATGTTTTAAATAAGTCAAAAAAATATATTCAGCATCAACAAGTCTCATGGATTTATCTAGAATATTTCAGAAGAGTAAAAGCACTTGTCACAGAAGAGGGGAGGATGGCACAGTGATTCTAATAGTGTGCTGCTGAGCTTGGACATCCTGTGCTGTTTTCACTTTTTGTGCTGCTTTGTGTCTCTGAGTGAGGGCTTGGGTTAGAAAGCCATAAAAGTCCAGTGGTGTGGAATAACTGAAAGCTTAGAGACTTAAAACCTGTAATTTCAGTGACTAGTACACCTAGTACTTGTAAGATTAAGTTACACTTTATAGGTGAACATTTCTCTGACAGACTCTTTACACATTTTACATGTATATTTTATAGCAGCGTGAGCAGTTTCCCAATATTGTAATCTAAGATTGTATTTTAAAAGAGTCTCCTCTTATGTGTGCAAGAACATAATGGCCATAAAGCCCACTTTGTAAATAGGTCATTGCTGGCAAACCTGGAGGATGTTTGATGCATTTTAATTCTGTTAGTAGGAGCAATAACTTAATGATGGTAAATAAGATCATTCCTAGATGAGGAAATGAGGGATTATTTGCCTAATAAATAATTTTATAAGGAAATGCTTATTCAAGGTTGAAAATGTTTCCAAAGGTCAGCAAAGATCTTGGAATAAAAGCCTCCAATCTGCTGTCACTTTATCTTCACAAATCTAGGATGCTGCTGTAAGGTTAAGGTGTGGAGATGCTGTGTGAGCAGGTCTGAAGTACCATCAGAACCATAATATCTCTGCTTACTTCTGTAGCTTAAAAAAGCAAAGCCCCTTTTCCCCGCTATTAGTTGTTGAGAAGTGGTAACCTAAATGTAGAACAAATTAAGTGTGCTAGCACTAACAGATTTCCAAAAGGGCATTATACTAGTGACTGTAAAAGCCACATGTGGCAGACAAAAAAACCCCATATAAATCCCCTTGTTTCATGCTGTTACAGCTTTGACAGGGCCCTCTCTTGGGGTGGTTGCTCCTACGATGCACTAATTATAGCACTTAAGTTCCAATGTTCAGTTGAATAGAGGCATGAACTGACCTTTCCAGAAGGAAAAGGTTAATGCTGAAACACATTGATTTCAGCAATCTGTCTTCTCAAGGTAACCCCAGAGTTTATGGTTTGCTTAACTATACGGTGTTGATGTTCCCTTGAAAAATAACTTTCTTTCCGAAGTGATCTATGTAGCCAAACCAGTGTTCCCACTTGTAAACTGAATTATAATTTCCTGCTATCTCTCTCATACGTCTCTGTCACCTGAGAGCATGGAGCAGATGTTTTAATGCATCTGCATCCTAGGTGCTGCTGTGGTGGCAGCCAGAGAGATGTTCTCATAAAATCTTCATGGTAGTTCTTGTCTACAGTCATTCTGGGAGGGGCCTGACAACAGTGCAGTGCTTTAGGAGATGACTGTAAGGGGGATAATGGAAGCCCTTATTCACTTGGCATCAGTTGTTTAAGTTACTCCAATTACATAGCAGTGATGGTAATCAGACAACCATGTCACATCAAGAATGCTAATTGGGTGTTGAGTAGTAAATCTGAGCAAAGGAGAACTCGGGATCAGTATTAGGATCAATCCTTTACGGGGAATCTTTGGAGTAGACCATCTATGGAGAAAGCATGGAAATTTCATCACTTCAATTACCTGAAGTGACTAGACAGGGCTCTGGAGCAACACAGAAATTTATTTTCTATTGACAATTCAGAAGCATCAGATGTATTATCTTACCTAACAGCTGGTGTGTCTGCTTGATATCCTCCGAATCTGTCTTTCCCAGGAAGATTGACAGCCTCCTATGGGGAAAGAGGACTTTGTGACTGCCAAACCCTTGGAAGTGCCCCTCATGGCTGCTGTGTTGTTCTGCATAAAGCAAGACCTGCATTTGCAGTTCCTCCTGCTCTGGCTCCAGGTAACCCAGCCTCCTCCTCCTTTCCAAATAGGTATTTCATGAAGTGCTTGCAGTGCTCTATGGCCAGAAAGATCATTGCTCCATTCATTGCTTTGCCTCGTCTTGCTCTAAATGAATGGGATTAATGATGCTTCCAGCTCTTCTATCAGGAGGTTATTTTGCAGTTTAGTAAGTGCCAGAACATCCCTCCTGATACTGCCTGACTTACATTTTTCATTGCTCAACTTAATCCAATTAATTTTACTTTAAAAATAAATCTTTTATAGTTTTGTGTTTTTACATGCTCTGAATATTTTTAGGTTCTTCTTGCAGTCCCCAAGTAGCCATTACTGGGAAATTTTTTGTTCTTCTTTTTTTGGAAACTACATGCTGCATTTAAATGTAAGCTTGTAATTACCATGAAGATAATAAAAAGTCATTTAAATTAGAACTGATTGGAAATTATAGTCATGGGGCAGGAAGTCAACAGGAACAGTAAGCCAAATCCAGTAAAGTTTTTAGGTCATTAGTGTTCAGCTATATAAATGCTGGCATTGGTGTGAGGCTGGGACTCTATGAGAGAACAAAACCCCTACATTAGGAGACAGGATCCCAAATGCTTTGCTGGACACAAGACTTTGTATTTCCATATATTGAAAGTATGTCAGAGCAGGAGGCCCTGACTGCAGCATACATGGAGACAGACATTTTCACTCAGGGCTCTAGGGAATCACAGGTATGCATCATGGGGTGTAGGCTGGTGCTGTACCTTGTCACTGTCGAGGCAGGATGGGAATGAGAAGACTCTGACTCAGAAGGCTGCTGAGAGTAAAACTCCGGTTTATTCAAAATACACTGCTCTTTTATACAGAGCTTTGTGAGGACCAACTCCATTGGTTCTGAAATGAAAACAACCTACACCATTGGCGCAAAGTGCTTGATGCACAGTGATAGAACTTAACTATAAACAATGTGAAAAACAAGAGAGATAAAGAATTATTTACATTCTTCTCCAGCTCTTTCCCAGGCTTCTGCCTGGCTAGAAATTCTCAGTTTCTTTCTTTGACTGAATCTGAAACCCACAGTACCTATTTTCTCAACTGTAGGTCAATGACCTTATAGAAAGTTTGAAAAAGCTGTGGCAACAGACTGAGGAGACGGGAGGCAGAAGGTTGTCCTGATCTGCCCAGGCCTACAGCAGTTCCGGGAAGGAGGACTGTCACAGAAGAAGGCTTTCAACAAAAAGTAACATTAATTAGCCCAGTGTTTTATTTCTTATGTGTGTGTAAGTGGCATTGTGACAGTAGACATGTCTACACCACTACTTCTGTTAAAAGATTTTATTATGCCTAGGAAATTGAAGCTGCTAAAAGGCAAATTGCCAGCCTGAACAGAAAACAAATGGCAACCTGGCTTGCAAACCAAGAGGCCTACAGTTTACAAAAAGTGCCAGGAAAGCTTTTCAAAAGGAACAAAGTGGTGTGGCACTGCGCAATGACAGGAGGGCTTTGTGGTGTGCAAGAGATTTCCAAACACTATGATAGTGTGAAGTACATCCAGGCACAGACAGACATATTATCCAAGCCAGACTGAGCCATTGGTCTAGAAGGCAAAAGGGGTTCTGAAATAACCAGAGCCTTCAAGGCAGTTTGTAGGAGGTGGTGCATGCCTCAAAAATTACAGACTTTAAAACACTTTAAACCAGCCTTTTAAAAAGCTGGAGAAACAGTATAGTGTTCACAATTGTGTTATGTGCAATGTTAATTCTCATACCCAAGGCTCCTATATTACCAATCCTACACAGGCAGGATCCATCATCCCTTGTACTACATGCTGTTGGAACTCAAAATGTCTCTCAGACATTTTTAGAGGTTCCAGGCCTTGGTCAGAAGCATTTTAGGCCCTGGCAGGCAGCTGCAAACAGCTGTGATTTTGAGTTTGAGTCATGGAATGAGTTACCAACTTTGGAGGTGGAACAAGCAGTCACAAAAGGTTAGATAGCATAGTAAAGGTAGTTACAAAGCAGAGGGGAATTTTTTTAGTATTGTACAGGGGGGGTTTAACACTTGTACAGGGGGGTTTTCACTTTGTACATGGGTGTCAGAAGTTCTAAGATGGAGGAAAGTGGGCTGATCCTGTTCTTCCTCCTTCTTCTTCCTTGCCTCCATGTTCTTGGTGATGTTGGCACTCACAGATTGGTTTAGAGTAGTAAACCACTTGGTAATATAGGTAGTAGGTATTGGGGGAAAACTATAAACATGTAATACATAATATATAATATAAAAGATAGCAGCAGCCCTGGGCGGAGGGAGAGAAGAAGACAGCAGACAGAGAGAATGTCAGGGTGTGTGTGTGCCTCTGTCCAGGCCGCTGACCAAACAGCTGCAGTCCAAGAAGACAATCTTTTAGATAACTAACAATAAACTGCCTTGAGACTGAACAGCAAGAGCCTGCACAGTTTTTCTTTGGAAGAATGGGTTGGAGGAGAAATTTCACCACCACATGGGAACCCAGAGCAAGGCTGGGGATCCCACAACATGCAAAACACCTAACTATCTAAACAATATGGCAAGACTGCCTTGTGTGACTGTTTCTGCAGATGCAGGAACAGTTTATACTGACATCTTATCTATCAGTTTGGTCTGTTTCACAGCAGAAATGACACAAAGGATTTTATGCATGGTCAGATCCTCCACCCGTGGTGCCAATCAACACAGCAATACACAGATACTGCCTTTAGATAGATCTTCAAATCAGGAGATCCCATGGAAAAAAAAATGGTCCCTGAAAAAAATTTCAGGACTGTTTGAAATTCCCATCTCTAGAGCTCTGGTGTTGAGTAGTCAAATGCTTGCTTGTGTTGCTGTCCAGAAGTTCAGGCAGTCACCTGGTCAGCCTTCAGTCAACACATTGTTAATTGGCTGTCTCTCCATTCCAGAGAGACTGGGGAGTGCCTGTCCCAGCCTGCCTGTCTTTCAGGAGCCAGGCAGCTGAGGGATGATGCTGCCTGGCTGGTGGTGCTGGGACTGATCAGCTTTGCCATACACTGGAAGGTGTAAAGGGAGGCAGCAAGGTCAGCAGCATGGTCACATATCCCTGGGGCAATAGAGGCCAGAGTGCTACTCTATTCCTCCCAGGGCAGAGTGGCTTTAGCCAGGGGAATCCAGGGGGAATTAGGTTTCCTCTCATAAGTGCCCGGGCCAGCTCAGTCATCACACTCGGACATGGCTGCTCCAAGTGAAGCCATGTTGGTGCATGCCTTTGGAAACATGGGAGGAGCAGAGGACCAAGCATCGTGGCCTGGGAAAGCAAATAGGTTGATGGCCACATCATCTAGGGCAGGCAGTGATGCAAAGGAAGCTGTCAAGGAGAAAGTTGCCCAAGTTCAGGGGTACAGAGTTCTTGGCAGAGGTACCTGAGCTGAACCCAAACTGTGTGCCAAGAGACCTTGCTCACAGAGCCACCGGTGCAGTGAAGAGCCCAGGCATAGTCCTAAGGGCATCCTCCAGTGCATGGAGGACCGTGTGGTCAGTGCTGACAGAAGCATCTTTTCCCTCTCCCTCTTTGAAAGGTTGTCAGAAATCAAGCCAGACTAGAACTAAAACAACATTAGGGCTCTTAAGGGCTTTTGAGTATAATTTCACTGTTTATTGGCATTATTTTCATTACTTCTGGAGGATAACCATAGGGAGAGTCTTCTGTTCAACTGTCCTATGTAATTCCTTGCAGGCCAATCTGAATTTTAAAAACTGGATGGCATTTCAAGTATTGCTATTTAAAATAGATCTTTTTTCCTGTCTATTTTTTTAAAAGATTCTTGCTTTTCAAAACCCTTTTTCATTTGACATTTTCACAAAATAAAATTTTCATGAGAAATGTTCATTTCCAATGAGCCTGGTCAGATGACACAAGCTTTCCATCAAATGCAGTAATTCTAAGATGAGGTAGAGAATGTGGAGAAAAACAACACGTGAAGATTAGAAACAATAAATTAGAAAAACACAAAAATTTTTCTTCTCAAAACCAGCCAAATATTTTTTAAAAAGTCTATGCTTGGTTTATTCCTTTCATTGTAATGAACATGTGACAAATATGTTTTTATCCTCTTTTCAGGTTCTCTGATAACCAGGATTGGCAGGGTACTGGAAAGGATATGCCCATGCTGCTTGGACTTCTCCTGTCTGGTGTTTCATGCCCTGAAACACAGTAATTTAGATACCTGCCTTCCATTGTCACTGCTGCAACACCTCTAATTTCAACCAAGGTTTAAAGTGCTTTAGTAGCTCTCTTGGTGCTATTACAAACTCCTGGAGATGCAAACTTACTAGAAGCTTGTCCATAAAGGAAAATGTGCCTGATTTGACTCTTTCTAACAAAACATTTTTAATTAGGAAGCTCAAGAAAATTATGATGTGCCACTTCAAGACATGCAAAAGATACCAAACAATGCCTATTTTAGGACCCTGTGTAGCCTAACCACTGAGATTCAGGAAATAGCATGCTGCTGCATTGGATGTTGTGGTTTGGTCCCCTTTGCTGTCTCTACTTTAACATTTTAATTTCTTAGTGTTGTTACATCAGGAGTTTTCACCCAAATCAGGATTTCTCACTACGTAAGCTATACAGAAACGATTACTGTGCCAAGTGCTGGCAGTGTCCCAAGGTTTTCTGCCATGTCAGGACATCAGCCCTCTTCTTCTTGAAAAGACCTAAAATTAAATGCATTTCCTCATTAATAACTTAGTTCTATGAGAGCTGGCAGCACTCAGACCATAGTGGTCTTTCTGTATTAGACCTGTCAACATTTTTGTGATCTTTTTATTGGGTGCTGCAAGGTGCATTTTTCTTTGCTCTGATTCTTGTGCTTAAAACCTATTTTTGTAACTGAGTGTATATGAAACATTT